ATTCTGATGCGTCATTAGTTTGAAATCCATCCATCAAAGCAACTTGATGCCTAGGAAAAAAAAAAGTTCTAATGAACATGACCCTTGGCTTTATTTCAGAAAGGAAAGAAGTTTCCCCAATCCACACTGAGTGGAATCTGTTGGCAATTGTTTTCAGGGCTGTAACGTAAATTGCAAGGGCAAAAACTGAAATGTGTAAAACTCACTTGGATCAACAAGTCACAAGAGAATAAGCAGCCAACACCTTTTTATTCAGGCTGTGGAAATAGTAATCTGGCCAATTTCCTAACGTGGACCGTCTGAAGAATACCATTTCAAAGGAGGTCAGGAAGGACTGTTTTTGGAGAGGATGCTACCCTAGTGGTTTTTTCTGGGTCTGCATTTACATTTGCAGATCAGATTATACTTACTTTTTTCAACCCATTCCTTGCCTCTCCCAGGCAACATGTTGCCAAGAGTCCCTCACACCACAGCCAGCACTCTTTTTACACTGTGTTTGCAGGTGATGCATAGAACCGGGGTACCGGGGTAGGGGATTCAGGTGAATAAGGAGTCATGGGCCGGGCCTGAAACTGCACAGAGATAACTTCCACAAACACACCCGGGATGCTGCGACATTTGTCCCCAGAGTTTGGGGGAGCCTCACTGCTGAGCCTGTCTCCTCCCCCGCCCCAAATGTGAAAAATGAAAGCTATTGCATCGCCCAGAGGACAGAACCTTGCAGTTCCTAGGGGCATCCCGGGCCATGTGGTAATCTCGGAAGCCTGAGGTTAAGAAATGCTGTACCAGGAGTTTCCATCCGGGAGGTGGAAGGGAGAAGCACCACTCAGTAGTTTCTGTTTTCAAAGTGTGATTCAGGGACCTCACATTTGGGGAAGTCACAGCACAAAGCAGTGAACAAAAACATGACACACATCACACAGAACGGTGCGATTCAGGAACTTTGCGAGACCTGAGTTTTAGCTTTCTGTACAGGAGAACAGAAGATCTCTGGTTGACACACGGGCTCATTTTACCCACGGCCTCCATAGAGAAACAACAGCCACAGCTGAGAGCATTAGGAATCCGGGGATTTCTCACCCCACCCCACCACATGAGGGCTCCATCTCTGCCCCAGGCCCCATTTCCCTCCTTCAGTTGCTGTTCCCACTTTGCACAGTGCTCATGAAAGTGGGCGGGTACAGTGATGTCCCACAAGGAGGGAGGAGGACAGAGAAGAGTGCCCCTTTCATCCTTGTCTGCCCTCCTCCCTGAGTCCTAGGGGGACCTGAAGGGGAAATCCCGATGTGGCAGGAATGTAGATACCCCTTTACTCCTTAAGGCAGCCAGCTGCCTATGTGGTCTTATCTGGGATGCACAAGTGGTCCCCTCAGGTCTGATGGACACCTCTAATCCACTGCAAGATGCTGAGTGAGGCCAGCAGGTCCGTCAGCCAGCAGCTGCAGGCGTCCAGGCTGGGCTGGAAGAATCAGTTTGTGTTTCCAGTACCAGAGGAGCAAGGCCAAAGCCCAGGGAGCATGGGCAGTGGGGGCGGGGCATGGGGTGCGGCTGGTGGCCCAGAGCTGGGGGAGGTGGCCTTGCATCTCCTCCCTTGGATGCTTCATCCTTGGGTCTGCTGTGTCTTTTTAGTGCCATCCAAGCTAAATGCTCTGACAGTGCGTACAAGTTTTGTAAATTACAGCTTTGTCACTTAAGAGGACTTAATATGAACAGGTTCAATTCTAAATTAAATCCAATCACATTATCGTAAGAAACTTAACGTATGCCAATGAAAAATAAGTCCTACCAGACTGATTATATAAAATACCATTTCAACTGTGAAAAATTTAAAGATGACAGTAATGGTTTTAACTTCATTACTCATGTGTCTGTACAATTTCTCATCTGAAGGTTATTATCAGAATTTTGAAGACGTCATTTTTTAAACATCTTTATTGGTAAGTAGGTACAATTGCTACAACAGAAACCAGATAGAAAGAAGTTACGCTCATGAAATTGGGCTCAAGTTCCTCTTTAAAAATATTGAAAGCTTTGCTGAAATTCAGTACGTGATCTTCCTCGAACTCTTTGTATTTTATTGTTATTATAATTTAAGAAAATGAAATGCATTTTTTTCGCCAAGCCACATATAGGTATCCCCCAATTTATTCCAGTTTATCCCAGTAATCTCTAAAAATATTTTATGAATATGAATAAGACTGGAAAGCAGTGTCCTGTATTATATTTATTAACCCAGAGCCAGTTAGGGTTACACAGGCTGATGCACTGAGCGGGTAACCTTCCGTTGTTAATTGGTTTCTGTAAGCCAAGGAGTTCTGATTTCCAAACTACAGGTGACAAATCTATCATTGTCCCAATTTGCAAGTGGAGAAAGCCTCTTCAAGGAAACTGCAACGTTGCAACTCAGTTTTAAAGTGCCTTTTGTTGGCTGCAAACAGCTTCAAAATCTGCTTTGTAATGTACTTTAATAATGGTCTCCCGAGTGGGGGTATAACTCAGTGGTAAAACCCATGCCTAGCATGGAGGAGGTCCTGGGCTCAAATTCCAGTACCTCTGCTTAAAAATAATAATAAAAAAAAGTAAATAAATAAACCTCATTACCTTCCTCCCGTACAAAAAAAACAAGAGAGAGAGCGAGACTTCCTGAATCACATCACCCTCTGGTGGCTTCCCCTTGCAAGTTTAAATTCTCACTTTTCTAGCACTCTCCTGAAAGACAGGGATTGCTTTTGCAAGCCTGTGTAACCAAGTTTTGACCAAGAGAAATGAAAACTTTGCAAACTTTTTATTTCTTTCCAGTTATCCTCTCTCTATCCAGTAATCCGGGTCAGCAGATCGAGTTTTTGCTAGACTTTAAAAACGTGTTTGAGTAAAACCTCCTCTAATTTACCCCACCAGGTGAAATCCGCTCTTGCACAAGCAATTAATAGCCAGAGAGCACCCTGCTGGAGCAGCCATTTCCCCAGCTCCCTAAAACGCAGCTATATTTGGAAGACCTCTATGTAGGAAGTAAGGCTAAAATTTAGTTCCCAGAAGACTAGGTGTGGTTTTAATGAGCTCATCAAGGGGGTGGGGCAGGAGTGTTTCCATGTTTCTATTTTTAAAATGCTTATAAAGACCATCCTTTATTGTTCAAAGACAACAGAAACGTTGTCACTCAGCTTACAATTAGAGGCAACAACCCGGCCAATCTGGTTCCCAGAGAAAAGGCTAAGGGACTTGATATTTCAGTTTCAGCTTAGAGACCCGGTTAATCTGCCCTTGAACCCAGGCCAAATTCAGCGGAGTCCGCGTCCAAGACAGCCAGGCTTCTCCCAGGCTGGGCGAGACAGGGCGGCAGGGTTGGTCCAAGCCGCACTCCCTCCTCTAAGGCCAGAATAAAGCCCAGTCCCCCTGGACCAGGCGGGTGGTGCAGGCCTGGGACCGCCTGGACCTGGTACGCGTCCCCGGTCATTCATGCCGAAGCACTCTAGTGTTTCAAATAATTTGGGTCTGCCTTACAGGACCTGAAGTGAAATCTGAGCGGGGCGGGCGGTGGTTCTGGGAAGCTCCCTGCGCCTCCTTGCAGCGCTGGGCGCCTCTGTTCCCCCGCCCCCACGCCCAGCCCCGCCTCCCTACTCCTCTGGCGTGGGGGGATGGGGACGCGGTAAAGTGCCGGGGACACCCAGGACCTCTCCTTCCCCGGGCTGTCTCAGGAAATGCTGGCGGGGATACGGGGTTGGGGAAGAGGTGGGGAAAGTGCACTGTAACTCAGGAGGTATTGGAAATATCCCGCAGAGCGGATTTCGTGGAGAAAGGCGCTATTTCCCTCGAACTTTCTTCTGGCTTCACCGAGAGTAAACGCTTTCCACTCGAGAAGGAAGAACACTCTAGACGAACTTCGATTTTCTTCCCAAGCAAGACAGAGACTCTCAGACTGGGATTAGGAGGAGATCAGTGCAGATACACTGCGTAATTGGGCGGTGCCGCAAAATAACCAGTTCCAATAAAAGCTGTAAAGAGCGAAACCAGGTTTCGCTGTCTAAGTACCCCGGCCCCGGTCCAAGCGCTCGCCCTCCGCCCACCCAGAGGCCGCCCGTCCCAAGCACGTAAACTGGAGTTGGTGCGTGCGGAGCACAGATCACCGAACTCTGTGTGCGTGACCAGAAGTGAAATCTGAGCGGGGCGGGCCGCGGTTCTGGGAAGCTCCCTGCGCCTACTTGCAGCGCTGGGCTCCTCTGTTCCCCCGCCCCCACGCCCAGCACCCCCCCCACTCCTCTGGCGTGGGGGGATGGGGACGCGGGAAAGTGCCGGGGACACCCGAGGAGCGCCGTGGGCGCCAGCACGTTAGGAAATACGATCTTCCTTCGGGGGCGAGTAAGGGGTGCGGAGGGACGGTCGCCCTTTCCAACTGCGCATCCGGGCGCCCTCTACCATCGGAGGGAAAACTCGTAGGTGTTTTCCCAGGCGGCCGGCCGGGGCCACGCCGCGGTCCCGGCCCCGGGGAGGGGAGGCGTGGCGAGGTCCATCCAGCGCGCGGCGCGCGCTCCTCCCCGGTCCCGCCTCCAGCTCCCCCCGGCGCCCCGAGGGCAAGAGGGGGGAGGACGGAATTTCCCAGCGCGGGGGCTCGGGCTGCCCCGCAACCCGGCGGGCTCTTTCTGTTTACGAAGAAAAAGGGGAAATGGAAAAGGCGGGGAGGCGGCGGCTGGAGTCCGCTGCGCCGCCCCTCGGCCGGCTCAGACGCCGTGAGTCAGGGGCCGACGAGGGCGGCCCGGGCGCGCGGGCGGCGCGGGGCTCAGTCTGCTGCTCGGGCCCGGACGACGCACCACGCTCTGAGGCCGGTCACCCTGGCTCCCGTTTCTGCCGCCGCCGGACCTCGGGGCCCCAGCGCGCCCGGCTCCCGGGGGCCTCCCGCCAGCTGTGCGGCGAGCCGTCGGGGGACAGCGGCTGGAGCGCTCGGCCAGCCGGGGCGCGAGGAGGCCGCAGGTAATGCATAGTCGGGGGCTTGGGGGTGTCGTTACGATCGCAGCCCTGCTGGGTGCCCCGGCGGTTCCCACCCGGGAATCCGGGAAGCCCCGGCATCGGAGTGGAGTCCAGGGCTCCGGGAAGGTGGGAGCTTGCCCGCCTCCCGCTGCCGCGCTGCGGTCCTACGCGCAGGTCGCCGCTGCAGCTGGCAAGGCTGGAAAGCACCTTGCGCAAGGGTCTCACCGGGCGCGCCTCGCGACTCCTCCCCCTTCCTCCTCCTTCCTGGATCCCTAGCGCGCGAGCGGCGCGGGTCCCGGCAGTGCGCGGGGAGGCAGCCACCCGCTGTCACCGTGCCTCCCGCCGCGCGCGCCACCCGCATGGCTGCACTCTCCCTGGCCAGACCTGGTGAGTGCACCCCGGAGGCTGGGGCCCCGCTGCCGCTCGCCCTTACGGTGGATGGGTGCTTTTTAATTTGCAAGCCCTTTAAGGCTCCCCTCGCCGTGAGGCACCGGAGTGGGGGTGGGGGTTGGCGGGGCTGAGAGCTTTCGAAGAGCTGAAACTTAATTTCATGCTTGCTCCTGGACTCTATTCTGTGACTAATAATAGAGCCGAACACGAACGCTGGGCTTTCGGCCTAAGAAAGAATATTAAGGGGGAAAAGTTATTTCGCAGATGTTTCCCGGTGGCAATACGGTATCGGGACTCCGGAGTTCTAGTTCTAGGTGGGGAACCGCGCTGAGAAGGAAGCAGAGTACAGATTGTCCCAGACATGACCAGGGAAGACCGCTAGCTGTCTTTTGGTGAAACATCGCACTGTCTGTTTCAGTTTTGGAAAAGACATGTTCTGGCCCAGAATAAAGGACTGCTCCGGATAAAAACAGGGAAAGAAGCACTGAGGTAGTTGCTTTCCGTGTCTGTGGCCTGAGTCTTCAGTATTTGCCGAGTAGAACGTAACCTGAATCAGCAAACGCCCCCAAATCTGATGGATTGAGGTTTGTGTGCAGTATTTCTGCAGATGTCCTATGAGGAAAATCGGATAGTTGAGGCATCTAGAGGTTTTGAAGCAGAGTGGCTGTCCCTCTAATACAGCTAGAATGGTGTCATTCTAGGGCTTTGGGAAAACAAAAATATTATTGAGGGGAAAAAAAAACCCTTACAGAAGATGTGCCTTCAGGGGCAATGTACAATTTTGGCAGAAAAAAAAATCTTTTAAATGGGAAGTGGCACGAGGTAAAATCATCCTTTGTTAGGTGGAAGTTTATGCCAGTAATCTTGACCATTTTCATTCACATTTACCAGGAAACACTCAACTTTTGTTTATGTGGATGGAAGTGGCCGAGAGTATGACATTCATATTTAGTAGTATTTTCTCTTGATTTTGTTGACTATTTCAGAAATAATTCAGAGCAGATCATTTTAACTGTATCTGCCCATTTGTCCATCTCTAAAATTGATAACAAGCAGGGATTTAGTGCAAATTCTTACTGTAAACCGTGTGGGGAAGGAACCTTTTTGCTAAAGTAGAATACAGATACCTTCACCATTCATACTCTTTCTGGATGGCTCCTGATCTTGAATTAACTCGGAAACTAGCCTCCTGTCTGCTTAGTTAAGGCCTGAAAGTGCTGAGGCTTTTGTGTGTGTGTGTGGGTGGGGGGGCATTTAGCGGGTGGACCGATCGTCAGGGTCATCTTGGGAGCAGGCAGATTTGAGTGAGCTGAGGCTGGCACTGCTAAGGAATTAGTGGCACTGAAGACAGTTCTGGTGTCACACACCCCTCCACCTCCTTGCCCTTCCTCCCTTCCCTCCTTCCCTCCTTCCCTCCCCCAGTGCCAGATGAGAGATGTATGTATTTCACCTCTTAGGTTTTACATGTAAATGCTCCAGACTTTTTGCTGCATGTAAAAACCAAAACCTGCCTTTCTTCTCTGACCTGTAAACTGTATGGACCTTTCCCTCTCTTTCTATAGACATGTTACCACCAGAAACTTTACTTTCTCTCTGATTAACCATTTGATTAAACCCAGGGGCCTTGGAACTTTTCATCCAATGGGGTTCCAAATTGGGCTGCTTTTGTTTTAATTCCTTTTTTTTTTCTCAGCAAATTCTCCAAGTAGAAACTGCAACTAAATGACCCCATGAAACCCAAGTCGAATGTTCCTCCACTGACCTAAGAAATTCCTTTCATAACTCAACAGACTCCAAGAGCCTGAATCAGAGTCTTCCTCAGAGACGTGCAAGGCGTCAGAGACGGAGCTTCCTTCACTCTGTAGATGTAACCATGCTGATAACAGCCATCAAAGCACTTCATAAGTTTCTGCCTTTTTTTCTTCACGTCTTATTTTAGATAGTCTTTAAAACCTTGCGGTGAAGAAGCAGGGGAATAGGTAGTCACATCCCATTTGCAGATAAGAAAGGAGGCCTGAAGCAGTCTCTGCAAAGCCAGGAATCTGACTGCACACCTCTCTTTGGTGCACGGATTAGCAACCTCAAATGACACAGTTTATTTACCGTGTGCCAGACACTGCACCAAGCATCTTATGCTCGTGAACTCCTTTAATCCTCACAACCACCTGTGAAGGACATGCTGTTACCACTTCCATTTTTCAGATGGGGGATGCTCAGGTGCCCTGAAGTTAAAGGACGTGCCCAAGATGGTGCAGACAGTAAAGGAGGGAGGAGTTGAGATTTGATCGCCAGCAGTGAGTCAGACTATAGGATGTTAGACTGCTTTCCACAGACACAATTTTGTACATCAGATCATCCAGTAACTTTATAATGACACTAAATTGCCTGGTTCTTTTCCCAAATGAAATTCACCAAAGGGCCTCTGACTGGTCCTGGAGGCAGGTGGTCCCAAGATGGAATATTTCCCAGAGCTTTGTGCTTGTGCTCCTGTGGCTTTGAGCGCTGCGTGCTGAATGCCTTGAAGGCTTGTGCTTTGAGGAACCTGAAATGTCTTGCAGAGAGAGGCTGTGCTTTCAGGAGCACAGTAGTTTAAGCAGACACATGCACCTTTAAATTCTCTTAGATCTCATAAGTCCTTTTATCTTTAATCCTGTGGAATGGAGTTGTTCCAAAATCTTGAGTAACCCCAAGTGTGGTTCCTGATTTGTAGATAAGAGCTGAAATACAGTTCTGGCTAATCAGAGTTTACTTGGCCTTGCCCACGCCTTGCTTATGATAGACTGGGCTTCCTTGGCCTCTAGAGAATCACCGAGCTAGACATTAAATTAATCTTCTTGGGCCTTTGAGATGTACTATTAAAGAACCCTGGTTTCAGGAGGGAGCACTGATTGACAGGTTAAATGAACCTTCTCCTTTCTCATACCATCTTTGGCAGAAAGAGGATTTGAGATCTGTCTCCCTTCTAAATAAGCTGTTTAACTTACTTGCATAAGAATTATTCCTGAAACTTGACTTATTACCATCATTATATTTGCTTAAATCAAAATCCATTTCACAAGCTTCTGGCTTCAGGGCCCGAATTTTATTTGCAAAGTTAGCTCACTGAATTTGATATTGTAGTTTCTTTCTTTCTTTCTTCTTTTTTTTTTTTAAATCACTCAAGGCATGAAAGCCACAGAAATCGTGCAGGAAGGATTGTCCCCTTGGCAGAGCTGCAGGGTTGGAAGCTGTCAAGGGCCAGGAGCCTCAGCTCGTCAAATTCCTGCACTGCTCTAGTTCATGCTTATGTCTGGTGAAAGTTTGTTTTCAGTGGCTCTAACTAATGCCACCAGCTCCATGAGTGAGTGACAAGTGAGATCTCTGGACCTCAGGTTTCCCCTCTGTCACATGAGCGGTGGATTGAAGGTCATCTGAGGTCCCCTTCTTCATTTGACTTCACACACACTGTTGACACAGAGCCCTTATTTTATAAACAAGGCATGCAAGCAGCCTTCTCCCCGTTCTTCTGTCAGTTTCCTGTTGATTTCAAATGCAGTAGGAATATAGTAAACCAAGTTGTTGTCTTCTCTTTTGCAGACTCTCTGGAGAGCCCGAGAGTGATGGAGTACATGAGCACCGGAAGTGACAATAACGATGAAATCGACCTATTAATGAAGCATTTGAACGTGTCTGATGTAATAGACATTATGGAAAATATTTACGCGAGCGAAGAGCCAGCGGTTTACGAACCCAGCCTGATGACCATGTGTCAGGACAGTAATCAGAACGAGGAGCGGTCCGAGTCTCTGCTGCTCAGTGGCCAGGAGGTGCCGTGGTTGTCGTCGGTCAGATATGGAACCGTGGAGGATTTGCTTGCTTTTGCGAACCACATATCCAACACCGCAAAGCGTCTATATGGACACCGACCACAAGAATCGGGAATTTTATTAAATATGGTATGTGTTTTTCCCTGATCAGTTGAGTGCTGTGCATTCAGCTGACTGCTGCAACTTTCATTTAATGTGGAGTGAGGTCTGAACTTGGTTTAGACTGGCTGCCAGGTATGTTTTATTAAAATGTAGTATCTGTAAGAATCACTTCCATGTTCAAGATGCAAAAAAAAAGTCTTCTTTAAAAGTTCCATTTAAAGAATCTTTTCTGTATTTTAGGAGTAGTTCTACAAATAGGCAGTGAAGAAGAATGAGTTTTAATTTAATGATTCATTCAGGAGCTCATTTGTCAGTTAGGCAGAAGGGAAAGGCTTATCGAGGCTCCATTTGAGAAAGGAATAAAGACTCCATTTTTAATTAATATATGTATATTTTATTGAAGTATAGATGCTGTACAATTTTATATAAGTTACAGGTGTACAGTGTAGCGAGTCACAATTTTTAAAGGTTATACTCCATTTATGGTTATAAAATATTGGCTCCATTCTCTGTGTTGTACAGTACTTCCTTTTAGCTTATTTATACATAACAGTTTGCACCTCTTAATCCTCTACCCCGATATTGCCCCTCCCCCCTTCTCACTGGGGACCACTGGTTTGTTCTTTGTATCTGTGAGTCTGCGTTTGGTTATCCTCACTAGTTTATTTTTAGATTCCACAAAAAAATGGTATCATATAGTATTTATCTTTCTCTGTCTGACTTACTTCACTTAGGATTAATAACCTCCCAAGTCCATCCATGTTGCTGCAGACGGCAAAATTTTCTTCTTTTCTATGGCTGAGTAGTAATGCATTGTGTATATATATCTATATACAGCACATCTTCTTTAGCCAGTCATCTGTTGATGGACACCGAGGTTGCTTCCATGTCTTGGCTATTGTAAAATAGTGCTGCTATGAACACTGGTTGCATATATCTTTTGGAATTAGTGTTTTGTTTTGTTTTGTTTTTTCAGATATACACCCAGGAGTGGAACTGCTGGGTTTTATGGTAGTTGTGTTTTTAGTTTTTTGAGAAACATCTGTACTGTTTTCCACAGTGGCTGTACCAATTTACATTCCCACCGACAGTGTATGAGGGCTCCCTTTTCTCCACATCCTCGCCAAAGCTTGTTATCTGTGTTCTTTCTGATGTCACCTCGAGCATCTTTTCATGCCTATGTGCTATCTGCATGTCATCTTTGGAAAAATGTCTGTTCAGGTCTTCTGCTCACTTTTTAGTTGGGCTGCTTGTTTTTTGATGTCGAGCTGTTTATATAGTTTGGACATTAACCCTTTATTGGCCATATCACTTGCACATATTTTCTCCTAGCTGGTGTTTTGTTTTGTCAGTGGTTTCCTTTGCTGTGCAAAATCTTTGAAGTTTAATTAGGTCCCACTAGTTTATTTTTGCTTTTATTTCCTTTGCTTTAGGAGACAGACCCAAAAAATATATATATATTGCTATTTAATTACTATTTTTGAAGGCTGAATTTTTTTGCTCCTCTCTTGTCACATCTTGAAATGTCACAATATTACTGTTGGCTAAATTCGGTTCTTACAGAAATGTAGTTTGTGGGCAGTAGATAGTTATCCACAGATTCACTCTCTTTAATTGGCAAAGTGTGAATGACAAATGATATGTTTGTTTAGTTATCCCAAGTATGCAAATCATCCAAAATATTGTGACAACACTCAGTTGCCACAGTAGAAGATCAGGTGATGTTTTTAGGTGTGCCCAGGATTCCGTCCGTCTCTTAGTGTGTCAAAGGTGAACACAGGTGCTGGCTACAGGTGATCTAATTTTTCAAATAAAACAATTCACAAAGGAGTAGGTGGTAACTTGCAAAATCTGCATATTGATGAAAGTGCCTCCCTCTCCTTTGGTCTAAATGGCAAGATGGCTCATGTGTGGAGGTCAGGACTGGACAACTAAAGAGTCTGAACAAAGTACTTAATTACTTTGTTTTTTTTGTGCACCACATTCGTTCAGTTAAAAACAACGCAGCAATTTAGGTCAGCTTTGTAGTGAATTGTTTTGTTAGAAGCCAGCTGTGTTGAGCTATTGCTCAATTTGCAGCAAGATGGAAAAATTACATTTTGCAAAATAAAAATTACATTTTGCATAACTGTATGGCTTGCCTTGGTCTGGGTACACCAAACTGTGTTTGATAGTTGACTTCACCTTGAGAAGAGTACTTCTTTTTGATACATAGGAAGTGACAGTTTGAATTAGGAGCGATACCTGATTCTCTTAGCTGAAACATACCTGGAGAACTCTGGTTCAAAGTGGCATAGGTGTCCACGATCAGACACCAAATGTTTATGTATTTCTCTCTCTTGCTCATTTTTTCACATTTGTTAAAATGGGTGTTTTAAAAGGAAACTCTGCAGAGTAAACACGTTATTTTTGCTTGTAAATACATAGAATTTATTTCATCTAGTTCATCAGACTGATGAGAGATGGGCCACGGGGTTGGGGATGATTGGAAGGGAATGCAGGAAAATTATAAAGAGTACAAAGCATAGCTTCCTGAAGGTTTTGGTGTGGGAAGAAAAAAAAGGCTGATGCAGCAAAAGACAGAAATAAAGACACTGAAAGAGGCAAAAATTTTATCAGCCAAGGGTAAGAGTGAAATATTGCCAGTCCCTGCCATGGGGCCTGCACTCCAGAAATGAACCAGTGCACACTCCGGAGAAAATTTAACACTGGACGTATCATAAAAGCAGGGATCTTTAAAACTTTCAGAAAGCTTTTCAGTTTAAAAAATGATCAAGAACATAAAACAACACAAGAGGTCTTAAAATGGAATGGAATAACAAGAGAAGGGAGAATTGCATAGGAATGTGGCCCATGCCTCATTGGGTAAATCATTCCGTGGATGAGAGTTCTGGGGGCCGTGGTTGGCTTTCCTGTCACTGCCCTTAAGGGCTGGATACATGCTGGTGACAGCTAGTAACCTGTCACAGCTCTGTGATTTATAAATAACAGCATAGGAGCGACTTGCCATCCCACATCACAGCAAGTCTGAGACAAGATGTTGGAGGCAGTGATGTTCGCTTCCAGCTTCCTTCATCCTCACACTGTGCTCTCCTTGGAACTATCCCACAGCCAAGACCTTCCTCTTCCCGTGGTCCTTCCCCTAAGACTCTATGAAAACTTTTCTCTTGTGGCCTCGCTGGTCTCTGTTTCTCTGTTTTACAAGATGACAGCTAATTATCTACCAAACAGATTGGTTCCAAGGTAAAGTTGGCCCAAAAGTGTATCTGCCTAGGGACCAAATGCTTTCCTTCCAGTACTCATCCACTCATGTGCTAGTCAGAGCTCGGACACCTGCAGGGTAGGAGGACTGCTCCAGGTGCTAGAGATTCAGTGTGGAACAGTCTATGTTCCCTGGTAGTTTTTGGCCTGCAGAATCAGGAGGCAAGTAAACAGGCAATTATAGTCCAGTGTGGTACTTCCCAGTGAGCTACACCCTGATCGCTATGGAAACGGTCAGACGGGATGCTTCACATAACTATGAGCATGGGTAGGAGGAAGGGAGAATGTCTGAGTCTTCCAAGAGGAAATGATGTGCAAGTTACTGAGTTGGAGCCAGTCAGATGAGGAGGACAGACAGCAGAGAATGTTCCAGATGGAGAGAATGGGAGGCACAGATGCCTGGTGTGTTCCAGGCAACCAACAACCACGACGCCCATGGAGTTGATTAGATGGGGTGGAGGACCAGGACGACAAGAAAATCCTGCAGCACAGGCATCTTAAAGGGTGGTCTGCGTGGGGGTGCACGTGAATGCTATTCTCTTTAAAATAAAATTTGCAAAGCTTCCAGCAGTATCCTGCAGGGTCTGGGAGGACACTTGAAGAGGCCCACCCTCAGGGTCGCTTTGTGTGCAAGTGCCACAGGTTACTTATAATCCAGACCCACACGTGCCCTCATCTGGGGGTGCACAGCCTAACACGGGCTCTGAACACTCAGCTCTTTGCTGATCACTTGGGAAGTGGAGGAGCTCCAGAGAGCTCGCTCATAGATGCAAGGGTTAGTCATGGAGCCCAGGTCTCAAAAAAAAAAACTTAAACATGTACTTGAGTCAAAGCCTCTGTCTGGTGCTTGAATCACCCCATTCATCATCGCCAATAATTGCTGGAGCATTTTGGTCTGTGCTTCAATGTTGGTGATGAAGCGTTCATCATGTACTAGGGCATTTAATGTCACATCGGGCCCGTGCTGATCGTAGGAAAGTCCTTCCTTAGACAGCACTAAAATCCATCTCCGACATGCCTTAATCCTGGTCCTGCTTTTTGGTGATAAAAAATGTGTATATCTGATGAGTTGTGGTGAAGATTGTAGGCCCTTGAAGGTATCTCAGCTCTGAAATGGACTAGTTGTGTGACATTGGGCTATGACAGCCCTCTATGCCTCAGTTTACTCATCTGTAAAATGGGTAACAATAGGTAAGATGACCACATTTGCTCTATATAGTTGCTGTGTGGAACAGATAATGAACACATGTGACCTGGTGACACAGAGTGAGTGTTGAAAGGATGTGAGGCGTTGCAGTGGTGGTTGTCACTCTCCTTCCTACGACAGTCCTCCCAGTGTCTAAGACCTGCACGGTCCCCATGTCTTCCCTCCTCTCTCACCGACACTTCTAGTCATTCCGGCTAGTTCTCGCGCGCTGTGGGGTGACCTTCCTCCTCCTCCGAGTGGTGGCCTCTGGCCTTGAGCTTGTGCCAGTGCCCTCTTACAGCCCAGAACTTGAACATGGCCATCCCTTTGCTGTGGGACCAGCAGAGCAGGACAGAGCCAGGCTGGCCTTTGTTCTAGGTTCCAGGCCTGAGTGCAGCCTGAGGTCACGCAGGTCCCTTGTGGAATTATTCTTGCGGGCACACCTAAGGCCTTTTCTCAAGGGCTGCCGCGACAGTGATCTAGGCGAGGAGATGGAAAGCTTGCTTACAGGCTCTGCACTTGACAGTGGCTTTGGAACACTGAGGAGTTAGCAGAGAGAATGAACAGCATGCATTTCCATAAGATTATTTGGTGGGGCCCCTAGAAAGAAGAAGAAGAAGGGGAAAAAGCCTTTCCAGACCCAAATAGGGAAGGTCAAGGTCTCGGGGAAGATCCAGGGACGTTGCAGAACCACAGACTGGCCAACACTTGTGTGTCACATTGCACGTTCAGGGACTGTCATCAGAGGTGGCGTGGAGAACTTGTGGGTGTTCAGAGGCAGGTCCACAGAACGGGGAGGGGACTGTAAAACCAGACGAAGGAACTTGCAGTATTTGATCTGAAGAGGAGACGGCCAAGGTGTGCTCAGTGATGGGTAAGTGGAGGCTTCTAATAACTGGGTTTTAATCATGGCTCAGCCTTAATTACAGCCTCTGGAAGATCAAAGCCTTTTGTCCAAAGAACAGGGACTGTGGCTTTGGGGTCAGACAGACCTGAGTTTGAATCCTGGCTCTGTCTGCACCTAAAAGTTAGGTCACCACTTGAAGCCAGTTTCCTTGTCTGTAAATGGAGCTAAAACACGATCCTTACCCCCCAAGCACTGTTGTGAGACTTAGCTGAGTGAAGGTATGAGATACTCGGCGCAGTGCCTGGCCCAGAATTAGCCGTGGCAGACGGCTGTTATCATTACTTCTCATCTTGGCTAGAGTAAGAGGACACCGGGTCAAAGTGGGTGACAGCAGATTTGGGTTGGACAAAAGCAGAACTTTCACGAAGGCGAGCTAAGCATGGAAGTCGATTCCTGGAGAATCAAGTGAAATTGAGTCCCCTGAGTGCCATGAGCGGGGCCTCATCTGAATGTGGGAAGAGCCTAAATGCATCACGTTCCTGGCGTGCTGGAAATGCAGCCTCCCGTAACTCAGATGACACGCTTCTTGAAAGCAGGTCATATTTCACACTCAGCCAGACCGGGGCCTCTGCTTCATCGTGTTCCCTCTTGGGTCCCGCACGGAGGGCGTGCTCCGTAAATACTTCATCTTTCAGTGTAGTGACTTCACATTTCTAAGTATTTGAGTGGTTCTCTGCTTCATTCCCTGACTAAGCGTGAGCACGTCTGTAGGTGGGGTGTAGCCAAGATTAGCAATAATGGATCCAAGTGAATAACGCTTACGGTCACCAGGATTTTTCCCGGAGCCGTGACAGCACGCAGAGCCCCGGGCATCCACAGATGAATCGGGTGTTCCTTCCTGCCCCACGTGATCTGCAGTCCTCTTCTGCTTCTTCCATTCTTGAGATAACTTTGTGTCACTTTGATAGATTCATAATTCCCGGATTCATAGTGTGAAGTCACAATAGTGCTAATTAACATGTCGGTGAAAACCTGTATTTTTCAGAGTCCAGCCCTTGAAAGAACACTCCACACCTTTTTTTTAGGCACGTGCTCTGGGTCACATCTTCCATGGACTGTCTTCTTCATTTGTTTTCATTTTAATTATAATTACTTCTCCTTACAATTTTTCACTTCTTAAAAATTGTGATAGCCATTACATGCAGTAAAGCACACAGCTCTCTGCTGTCCAGTTTGATGAGTTTTGACAAGGGCACATACCCTGGTAGCCCATGCTGCCATCAGGATATCTCTCAATTTCCGACTCAACTGGTTGAAACCTCTTATTTGAAGTATTTGCTGACTCATGAACCCTCAGAGGTCAAGGGTCGTCTGTCTCTTGTCCTTAGATGCCTCCTCAGCACCAAACACAGTGCCTGGCATGTATCATGCCCTCAATAAGTATTAAATGAGTAAGCAAGTGAGAAACAATTCTTTCACTCATGTAGCACTGGCGACTCACAGCTCTGCCATAACACATTGTTTTCCAGACTCCTCCGTGTTCATCAGTCAATTTCTACACTCTCTCTGTATGCATCATCTCTGAGTAAGAATTATGCAGACTAACAGGTTAGCACATTCTAACTGGAAACAAGTCAGCTTGCGTGCCCAACTTACATTTATGCAATCTTTATTTTCAGCCTTTTGGTCATGGCAGTCATGCTCCCATAGATAAATCATTTTTCAGGTTCTATTTGGCAATGAATTACTCACCAGGAGCTAGAAATACGAGCAGGTCTGACCAGGGACGTGTCTCTGTTACATGCTTTCTCTGTCATGCCG